CGATAGTGGAGATGTACTGTGCCATGGCCTCATCATAATCTTGCTTGCTATATAGATGATCTCCATACTTCCTTAGAACTTCTGCAGTAGCGGCGGCATCAGCTTGCTGACTCTGAACTAGATTGATAGCTACAGTATACAGATTCTTCTTGAAGAGCATGTCTAGCTTGCTTTCCATATCCTTTTCCCCGATACACAGAGTTGATTTGTCAGTCATTATAAGTATAATGTTACCCCATTCACACAGCATGTGAGAAACTTCTTTAACCACCAGACTGTGGGCTATCAAACGGTTCTTCAGGTCATAAACATTGAAAGTGTCTTTCCCAGTCCTTTGGTCTGCAATAACACATAAAAGGTAACCACGAAACCACCCTAGAAATTTCTTCTCTCCCTCAAATGCCCAGCAAGGACCACGCCCATCAACTTCGTAAAAATACACAGCCTCAGGCCGGCCAATTATTAACTCCTGGTAATAAAGCAACATAAAGACCAATATGTCATACAATTACTAAAGCAATAAGAAAGAAAACAAACAAGGTTCCACAGACTCCTTACCAAACGATCACTCATCGTAACACTATTGAAATTACATCCAATCTGATCTAAGGTTTGTCTCCTGGGTGGTTGATTATGCATGCTGAACAAGCTCACCGAATCTGGAGTCACGGCAAATAATTGAAGGGCTTGACCATCCACTCTGAATCCAAGACCTGTAATCGATGAATGACTTTTATCAGAAACATTATCCACTTGGAGCTTGAACCGCGTGATTCGTTCCCTCGCAATATCCCCTTTGATGCAGTAAATGCAACCATTGTCTAAACCAATAGCCATGAGTAGTATCGGAGGAGCTTCCTCTAGTACTAAAAAAGAAGTAATCTGCAGAGATTTCCACAATTCTTTAGTATATCCATCTTTCCGTATACAAATTTTGTTTGTACAATCAAAGAATACTGAAAGCAGCAAACAAGGTAAATATCTGGGAAAAAAAAGAACGAAAGAAAGGAACTAAATACATTTGCTTCGGGAAATTGATTGGTGAAAATCCGCAATATTCCAATACAATCAGGGGTAGTAGCAGCACTCGTGCCTTCGGATTGCATCTTGTCGAGATCAAATACTTTGAGGCACATGGCAGATTGCTGCGGAGATATTTGTTCATCCTCACCCACAGTCACCAAAAAATTCCTTTGCTGATTCATCACAAAAATAAGAACAAAAAACAAAAATATCAAATTCAAATCACGATCTAGTTTCACTACGAGCATTTAGCAATTGTATTTTACCTACATTTTCTCCATTTTAAACAAATTGCCCTAAATTAGAAGCTTCGATGATCTCAAAATCCAAAATTGAACTTCACGCTGAACCAAATAAATTTCCTTTTTATTTTTTATACCTATTTTCAATATTTAATTCAAAAACTGATTGCGCAGGAAAAAGAAAGAAACTGAAAAAAAAAAAAAAAAACCTTGAGGTGTTGGAGGAAGAGGACAGAGGAGGAGTGAGATTGGAAAGAGAAATTGAACTTGAGGCCACGATCCAGCAAGCTTACAGTGCCATCATCGCAGCCGATCACCACCTTCCCTCTGCCGCTAGAACAGCACTCGATCTTCCCTGCCGTCACTTCCTCGGGAATGGAGCTCTTTCCTCCGTATTTCTCCTCGAAGAACTCGAATTTTCTCCACTGATACATGATTTTTTTCAGAAATAATAATTTAGATTTTCATGGAATGCAGAATTATTGGATCCAAAGGGAAGCAGCAGAAGAAGATGAAGAAAGACTTGCAGGATGATAGGCGTCGTTCTGAGATAGACAAACGACACTGCGTTTGATATTGTAAAATCATTTTCTTGACCCGGTCAATTTGGAGTAAGGTCCGAATCATGTATTTTAACCAGATTAGTAAACTTGGGTTTATCTTTCTTTTCTTTTCTTTTTTTCAATCAAAACAACATTATATTTTAATAAAAAAATATTCAATATATTACTTCTGTTTTAAAAACCAAATTTAAATATTTCTTATTTCAAAAACATGAAAAACCAAAAACTGGCTATCAAAAATTTTCAAAATCAAGAAAAATGGTTTAAAAAAATAACAGCGGTTATTGTCTTTTTTTTATAAAAACTAAAAAAACTTAATTTTATATTTCTGTTTTTTAAAAATCTAAAAAAAAACCCATAAAAATTACCAATAGACTCAAAGTACCTCAACAACTCATAAAAATTTAAAATTATTTTTATATTTTTTAATTATTTTAATATATTAAAATTAACAAAATATTATTTTAATATATTTTTAAACTACCACGTATCCTTTACTACAGATATTAATCATTGCAGTTGTATCTTCGAGAGTTGTGGAAGTTTTATGTAATCAAGTATAAAATTATATAAAATTATTTTTTATAAGAAATAAAATAATTGGACCTTAGGGGTCTGTGGCACTTACAACCTCTGTATGTTGTCGGCATGTCCTTTAGCGGGTGGTCTGATTCTAAGCTTTCAATCGTTTGTAAAAAAATAAAGTTTTAATTTGACCATGTCAATATGTCTTGTAACATCGATATTTTACACTAGCATTTGAAATTAATTTTTAATAAAATAAAAGAATGTATTTATATTTTTTTTAATTGAGAGATGCAAAGATGTTATTTATGTGTAAAATAAATCAATCAATTCTATAAGATTATTAATGCTAATTATATACTAAATAATTAAGTCAATATTTATTCTAAAATCAAAAGACACATGAGCATGTAAATATTTAACACTATTTTTTCTTTCAAATTTATATTTTTTTTTCATATTAGGAGTTATTTTTTCTCATCAAGAATAAATGATTTTTTTAAAATACATCATACAAAAACAATTTATTTATACCATATATAAAAAAATATAAATCACAACAATTTCCTTGAAATATTATAAAAATAAAAAAATAATTCAAAAAATAAATATTTTTTAAAAAGTGAACAAGATAAATTTAAAAATAAGAGAGAAAGGATGTTGATTTAAATTGAAATAAAAATTCAATATAAACTAATAAATACATAAAAAAAGGGGATATCAATTAAACTTTTTTTTTTTTAAATAAAGATAAAAAAGTTACATGTGGTCAGGTTTGACAAGTTAGGTATATATGTCTAGCCAATTATCAAGTCTTGAAATTTTAGGATTATAAGATCGAGTTTTTGTTTTTTACAATTTAAAAGATGCACATATGTCTAGTCAATTATCCAATTATCAAGTCTTGAAATTTTAAGATTATAAGATGGAGTTTTTGTTTTTTACAATTTAAAAGATAAATCCTAAACTCATAAAATATGATTATGAAATTATCTTAAAAATTTAATAATAACACGTCATTTTATGCCTAGTTTTAGGCCACCTTAGATGGTAAAAAACATTTGAAAAACTAAGTTTTTATTTTTAGCTAAAAAAAATATTTTAAATCAATTTTTAACACGAAAAATATTTTTAAAAAACATCCCAAAAAGCTAAACAAATCTGTTTATTACCTCACAATAAAAAAAAGACCATTACAAGTTTTAAAAACAACTTAAAATCACTGAACTAACCAAGCCCCAATCTATTTTTATTGCTAAGTTGAAGGCAAAAAAACCATCTACTCCTCTCATTGAATAAAAACCTTTACAACCAAGCTTTTCCATTTTAATTGTTAGAATAACAGTAATTGGTAATTTTTTTCTTTCATGTGATATTTTCTAATTATTTTCTCTCTTCTCTCTTAAATACAAAGATTAAAAAATAAATAGATAAATTTTTAAATTAGAATGAAATTTTTTACTGATTTAAGATTAACCATGTATTTTTTTTGTATTTTATATTTTAATAATTTATCTTTTAATTTGATATTTTTACTATAATTTCAAATATAATCTCAACGAATTAAGCCTTCAAGGATTTAGTTGAGAAAAAACAATTAACAACAAAAATAAAAAAAAAAGAGTCAAGAAAAAAAGAAAAACTAGAGTATTGAAGCAACTGGGGTTTTACCCCAAATGTTTTATTATATTAGTAAATTAGCTTTAAAATTGGCACTACATTATAGGTCGAATTCCAAGCTAAATTTTAACATAATAGAAAAAAATGTCCAAGTTATAGATGTGTTTTATCATATCATGATTTTTATAAATAAAAAACATAATAATATTTATACGTAATGAAATAAAATAAAATACTATGAATTGATAAGCTATGAAAGTGTTATTAATACTAATTAAAAAAAATATAATGTTCTGGATATGCTACATCATGAATTGGGTTTCAAATTAATTTATAACATAAAAAATTAGTATGTTATGGATAAGTTTTCATGCATCATATTTTTCCAGATTTTTCCAGTAAGTAAATAAAAAAATATTATTTATATTTTATATAATAAGTTAAGAAATATATAAATTGATAAATCTAAAAGAATTATTAATACTGAATAAATATTAAAGCATGAAGTTAACCTTCATAATAAAGAAAAAAGATAGATTCATATACTTTATATTTTAAATCAATTATCCATTTTATTTTAAATTTTTTCGTTCATTTTCTTTTATTGGGTAATTGTTGTTACTAACAAATTATGTCTACTTTTATAAAAACTTCATTAATATACAGCTAATCCATATAGAATATAAAAAGAAGAAAATCCGTGATATATCAAACTAATATTTTGAAATATCAAGCAACTAAAAAAATATTTTAAAAAATCACTCTTAAAAAAAAAAACTAATTCAATTTGTTTAAGAAATAAAAAAGATAAAAAAAATTAATATTTAAATAAAAACAAATAATGGAAATGAAAAAAAGTAAAAACCACAAAAAAAAAATAGCCTCGACCAAAGAGCCTAATTGGAATAAAAAAGTCTTACAGACCTTAGTTCCTTTTATTTCTTGTGTAATATAACATGTCATTCATTTCTTTTCTTTATTTTTTTTTTTTAGATTAACGTGGGTGTCCGGGCCAGCTTGCGCGCACCACGACTAATCCCACGGGCCCTGAAGTTAACGACCATGTAAGCTTCCAGTGGCCATCATATGAGCAACCAAGGACTCGAACCTGAGACCACAGAAGGAGCAAACCCCTTAATCCCAAATCTTTATCTCTTGGCCACTACCTAGATGGTTACTTTTCTTTATTTTTAATTATGTAGGTTGAACGACCATGTAAGTTCTTTTCTTTATTTTTAATTATGTAGGTTGTTGTTTATTGTAACATTTTTTGGTCATTTCTAATTAAAAAAATCAAGGTCTAAGTTTTTGGACTTAATAAACCCAAATCTAAAATAGTTTTCATTTGTAAAAACCTCAAGACCACAACAAAAACCTTTATAAATCACCTACTAACTTTGAAATCACCTAAAAAATTGAAAATTAATTGAATTTGAAAAACCTAAACGAACCCAATCTATTTTTTAAAGCAAGATGAAGGCCAAAAACTAATATCATCAAATTTCTTTCTTTAAATGTAATCATTTGACATCAAAGTGGTTATTTTGATTGCGGTAATCATGACGCTCAATAACTTTCTTTCTTTTTTATCATTTCATAACAATTTTTAATGTTCTTTTTCAAACTTATGAGCTAAAAAAATATAAACTTTCAAATTAAAATGAAAATTATCATGAATTTGGGATTAGCCATCTATTTCCTCTATTTTTTATAATTAAATCCCTTATCTTTTAATTTGATATTTCTACTATAAGTTCAAACTTAATCCCATCTAATTAGACAATAAAATGATTTAATTGAAAGAAAATTAAAGTTATGGAACAATAATAAAACAATAAAGGGATAAAAAAAAGAGAGGGTGCTTTGCTTTTTCGTTCTTTGTTCATATGAACAATGAAGCATAAGCCCCACTCCATTTAGTTTATTAGTTAATTAGCTTGAAAATTTATGCTATGTTGTAGGTTGAATTCCAAGTTAAATTTTAATTTATTAAAAGAATGTGTCAGCGTTACAAATATGTTTTATCACACCATATTTTTTTATTAAAAAAAAATGAAAGGATGCTATTTATGTTTAATGAAATAAATCAAGAAATATATAAATCAATAAATTGTAAGCTAATAAAAAAAATTATAGGAGCGATTCAGTTATGCTATACTATATGTAGGATTTTAAGTTAATTTATAATGTAAAAAAGAATAAAATAATACATTACGAACATGTTGTTGTCGCACAAGTGCACACAGTATGGCGATGTTGGAATTAAGGAGTCACTACTTAGTTATTTGGTTTAGGGTCATTAGAATACTCAAGTGAATTAGTCTTACCTAAAATTTTAAGATAAAGGATTGGTTGTGCTTAGGGAAGGTATTAACATTCCTAGCGCACATTAATGGACCATCAATTAGGAAGGTAAGCTACATTGTTTGGTTTGGATATGGTTCAAAGGTGCAGATAGGTTTCTAATCGGTGGTCTGTCTATGACTCCGAATAAAAATTTGCTCTCATGAACAAGTCTAACATTTTAAATTTATTATAAGCTCATTTGCCTAGATAAATTCTTATAAAAAGAATCCATAAAGGTGCCTTAACAAGGTTTACATATCCCGCAAGATGAAAATGTTTTCCACAATTCATATGTTGTGATGAAAAATACTCTCAATTAAAATTGATGAATATTTAAAATAATTCTGTGTATTTTCTAGTCAACTTCTAGTACTTAAATATCTACTAGTAGGTCCAACATTTATACTAGAATGTTAACCATTAATTTTCAGATAATAAAATTTTTAGGGTATTAAAATATTGACCAAATCCTTAAGAAATTATACAATTTTTTTGTAAATTCCAAAAAAAAAAATGCACAAAAAGTTTCTAAAAAATATTTTTTATCCTTTTTATAAATAAAATTTTTTTTGTAAGGATTGAGCCGTGTGCAACAAGCAAAAATTGTTTTTTATTTTTTTGTTTTTTATTCTTTAAAGCCATATTAGGTAAAAATCTATTTAAAAGAAAAAACCAAAACTTTCAAAATAGATCGAGGGGTGTTTGTCAAACACACCTTTTTTTTTAAAAAAAAAAACCTTCATAAAAAATACTGTCACCTTATGATTAAAATCCCTAGAAACTTGTTATTCATACAAATAAATCTTAAACTATTTACTAGTCAAGTTGTTTGAATTGTTTAAGGCAAAGAATTGAACTAAAACTAGTTCATATTATAGGGGCAAGGAAGGATTTTTTAAGAACATAAAGAATACTGTAAAAAAAATGTCCAAATATACCTAACACTATCAAATCCTGTAAATGACCTTTTAAATTTCTAAACATACTATTTTTGATAATCAGAAACCACATTACCAATACTAACCAACGTTAAATTTAAATAACTAACAAATAACATAAAAAACATGCATGAAATTACAAAGTTTAAAACTACCAAAGCTAAACAACAAACATATTTATACTATTTGGATTCAAAACTTAACATTTTTAACATCTATAGGCCAAAACATATTTGTATGAACCAAGAAATTGTATTAAAAACATCAAATAAATCAACATGCTTCCAAAAATTTTAGCCTCCACATAAAAACAACTTATTGTTTAATTATAAAAATAGATGCAAACACTAATAAAAATACCTCAAATACATCATCAACATGCTATTGGGCTAAAAATACAAAATAAAAAAAATATCAAAACTAAGAAACATACCTTTAGTACAAGCCCCACTTACACCTTATTGACCAAATCTAAAAAAACTATTATAAAAAAAGTTTAAGCAATCTAAAACATGTTTAAAACAAGGATAAAAACAAAACAAATTCTGTTAAAAAATATAAAATTGTTCCAGCACCAAATTCAAACAAAAAAAATGCAAGATAAACTAAAACAAAAAGGTTTAAACATCGAGAAAGCATGATTAGGTAGGCCACAAGGACTCCATCCTTGAATTTTTACATAGTTATACCTACTCTAAGTTTGCTGACTATGGACTGTTGTTTTCTTTCTTTCTTTTTTTTTCCTTTTCTTTTAACTATCTTTTTCTTCCAAAGCTTGTTAGACCCTCTGTGTTAGGCTTTTAAACTTTCATACCATGATCTTTTAATAACATGTTTCTCCATGTTTTTCCTCTATTTTTCTTATTTTCTAAGGGGTATTTATAAAGTTTTGTTAGGGTTCTTGATGGATTGAAACATAGATTAATCAAAGCTCAACCCCTTGATCAGAATGAGAAAGTTCTGGACAAATATTAATAGTTAGAACCTTTGTCCTTTAATGGTTTTAGGATAATGGTTTTAAAACAAATTTGCTTAAGTGGTTTTTTTTTTCTTGGAAATAAAGGCATGCATCATTTACCTTGTGTTTTTGGATGAAAGATTTATGGCTCTTAATATGAACCCTTTAGGAATTTTTAAGTGTGAACACATGAAAAAGTTGAGTGATTTTGCACAAATAAGTATCTTAGTCAAGGTTGATTGAGTTAACCAATTTTAAGGCTTCGCTAAAACAACTCCGATATAAAAATCATCAAAAACCACCTGAACTTGGTAAATGAGAAGTATACCTTTTTATTGGATCCATTCTTGCTCAATTTAGAGGTCTAGAACTCAACATGCATTCTTTTGAAAGTGTTAACTCGATCAGGTAAAATTCTAAAACAATAGTGACGGCTAATCAATGACAATATATTATTAAGTTCGTTGAAGAAAAAGAAATGTAAACATTTTATTAGAGAAATTGATCTTTCTCAGTTGAATAATCGTGGTTACAACATTAGAGGTGCTCGGAGACGCCACATTCATTCGTTTTAAAATGTCTACTAAATTAACCAAAGCTGCTAAAGAAGAAGCTAAACAGTGGTTGAACAACGTGCTGTTTAAGACAAACCCAAGAAATTAGGGTTTTTAATTTAGAATTAAATTTTTTTCACTTTAGTCCATGTTTTTCTAATTACTTTTAATTGTACCCATAATTTTCTCATAAACTCTTAATCTCATCCAATTTTATCCCTTTTAAACTTAATTGTCAGCCTCATAGTTGATCGCCTATTTCATTTTAGTTATTAGTTATGAAATTATGTATTTTGACATTCAATTGATCAATAAAATTTTATTTTCTTAATTTAGCTCTTAATTTGATCAATTTCAACCCCTATATTCATATGTCCTTTTCAGTTTAGTCCTTAATTTTTAATTTCTTCAATCAAGTCCTTAATTTCTCATCAAACTTTAATATTTATACATTAAACCCCTAATTTGACCAAATTAGCTTTTTAAAATTGTAATTTGGCCCTAGACTTTAATTCTAGTTAAAACCTAAATTGAATTCAAAAATCAATTTTTCTTGCAATTAATTCCTCAATAAAAATGAATCAAGCATTCTAAAATTCTTATTGAGTCCTTATCTATCTAAATTTATATTTCTTTACCCAAAATAAATTTTTTTTTACTAAGGGGTCCTTTTCTCTATTAGAATTGGATTGCCACTTTTGCTAATCTTATTCATTTTGGTCATCCAACCTTTCTATTTGTTATTCTGGTCCTTCACCATCAATTTGGATAATTTTCTAGGCATTATTCCTGATTTTTTGTTTTTTAATTTTTTATAGGGTCAAAAGTAGGTAATAATAGATGTCTTCTCTTTACAATGCTTACGAAGCAAAATATTGTTAAGGTTTTGCACAATGAGCTTGTGAAGGAAATGTGTTTATTGATCTTGCTAAGTAATTCACCCATCTTAGAATTCTAAAGACTTTTTTTTTTTAAAAGAAAATGATCTCATTACCATAAATGATTAGAACTTAAAAATGCATTTTTATCAAGGTTTTATATCATCATTTTACACTTGAAGTATCAATAATTCCTTAACTAAAACATGTTTTATAATAACATATCTAATACTATAAGATACCTTTAATTTGTGATAAATGTTCATGTTAAATGCAGGCCTATCACATAAATGAAAGGATTGATTGATGAGTTTAGTACTGAAATTGAAAGGACAAAGAGATAGCCAAACTTAGAAGAGAGATGTTGGTGTAGTCCAAACTAGAACACTATTTGGTAATTGGGTTA